TCCTCCGACCATTCTAATTGGGACTTGGTGCTCCCTTTTGTGACGTATGCCTATAATAAGGCCACGCAAGCAACTACTGGCTTTCCACCATTTTTTCTACTGTACGGACGTGAGCCCTCTTCTACGCTTGACACGATGCTTACCGCCCAGATGCTTCAGAATACCGCCCAGCCTCCAAACTTGTTAAGTGTGCCGAAGAGTGCCGCCAATTAGCGCGTTCATTTACGTCCGTCGCACAAGGTCTCCAAAAAGAACAACTCGACCAAGACAAGCCTGCTCACAGCTTCCCCGTAGGCTCATTTGTATGGTTCTCGGCTCCATTCCACTCTCCCGGCCTCTCCTGAAAGTTTGCACCCAAGTACAATGGTCCGTACCGAATCGTTCAATGCACATCACCGGTCAACTACATCGTCGAACCAGTGACTCCTGTCGATGACAAATGATGCCGTGGTCGTGAGGCAGGCCACATCAGTTGCTTAAAACCTTATTATAATCCCCTTGTGCTTGCTTCGCCGTGAGTCGCCAGGATGGCTCCTCTTCACCACCGGGCAAATGTAGTGGGGAAGAGGGAGGGAGGCAGTATCTATTCGGAGCACCTAGAAGACGACTATGACGAAGAGCTGAGCTTGTGACAGTGACTGACGCCCCTTGAACCAGGCAGTTGGTTTTAGTCAATAAACCCCCTTATAGTAAGTACTGGCTTTGGGGTGAAAAAGTTCCAAAGATACCTGTGTGGAAGAACTTTCAAGGTGGTAAGAGACCACCAGCCCCTGTTTGACCCAAAGAGACAGAAAAGCACTGTGGGTGCTGCGAGAGTGATTGACCTTCTTGGCTAACTATAGCTGCATAATAAAGCATAAACCGGGGACAGCAACTGCTAATGCTGACGCGTTGTCTCGCCTGCTGCTATCTGATACAGAAGAGCTGGCTAAAGAAATTTTTTACTTTATACTCTGACTTACCACTTACAGCCAAAGGCAGTGAACGCACAACAGACCGTGACAGCCTCCTAACGAGCATTCGAAACATGGTATGGCACAGTCGGCCAAAAAGCGTTCCAAGTGAACTACAGCCATTTTGGGTTCGTGGGTTGGAATGGCTGTATTGTTGGGACAACATTGTCATAATACCTGAAAGTTTGCAAGCCGAGGTTCTAGCTCTTCTGCCCTAGCAGCATTTGAGGATCACCAATACGAAAGCAGTAGCACGTTCAATAGTGTGGTGGCCAGGCATTGATAATGCTCTAAAACAAGTAGTTCCCCAGTGTAAAACATGTCAGTTGTTGTTTCCGATAACACAGCCAGTGCTTTTATGTCAGTGGCGACTGAGTTAATTCCCATGGGAAAGAGTGCATTTAGATTTTGCAGTTAAGGAAGGGCACATGTTCTTGAACGCTCTGGATGCATATTCAAAATGGCTTGAAGGGAAAATAATGCATTCAATGATAGCTACAAAAACTGTGAAGCTGTACATTTTCTGTTTGGATCGCATGGCCTTCCAAATGAGGTGGTTACTGATAAGGGCCCTCAATTCACTGCAGCAGAATTTGGAATGTTTCTAGAAGCGATTGGTGTGAAACACACGCTGACGTCATCTATCACCTTCAGTCAAATGGTGTGGCTGAGCGAGCAATGCAAACTACGAAAAAAGCACTCCTAAAACAGGTTCTGGGTGATGAAGAGAAAAGGATAAGCCGATGGATACAACACAGGATCGAGAACTTTTGTTCTCGTGTCGTATGACCCCCTATACCTTCACGAGTAAAATGCCCGCTAAACTCTCTCTGTGAAGCAAACTGAGGACTAGGCTAACATTGCTGCAACCAAATGTTAGGATTGAGCTGTCATACAAAGTGGAGAGAGTGAAACTGCAGACAAGTGAAGGGGTGTATCGCAGTATTTTTCTGTGGGCGACGCTGTTGTGTGGCGCTCATTTCGAGGTTAGATTGTTAAATGGTTTCCCGGAAAAGTGACGTGTAAAATCGCCATGCACCTATTTTGTTTTAGCCCATGGCAGTGTGCGATTTGTGCATGCCGATCACTTGCAGAAGTCGTTTTTGGAGACAGACAGCAACTGTTAGCGTAGTGAACCCGAGTTACTGAATGCTGCAGAAGTGCTTGTGCCCAGTTTGTCAGTGCCCTATGCAACAGAGTCACCGGATGCCCAACTGGTAACAATACTAGCGCAAGCATTACCCAGCCCTGAGTGTTCTCTACCCATCAACGTAAGAAGCAGCTGCCGAGAGTGACGACCTTCGGACCATTGAAGTTATAGCCATGCTTTAAAATAGGAGGGAAGGAGTGTTGCATCCAACGCTCTACGACGTTACATCGAACACATTGTGCCATTGCATCAAACACGCCTTGCGTTTGATGGTGAACATGCTCGGGTAAGAGACGGCGCCACGATTGGGATTGGTGGACTTGTTTGTTTGTTGTGTATGTGCACGTTTGTGTTTAGATGCTTGTTCACAGACACCGTGCGAGCGTTGGAATAAAGACAATCCACGAGATCGTCTCTCTCAGTGTGAGTTAAAACAGGATGGGTATGCTAATTCAGAGGGGCTATTTTGTAAGCGTTGTGGAAGCCACGCCCGTTGCCTGCTGGCTATTAAGGGGACACAGGCTGCGCACTGATAATGTATGTGGCCTACATGCTTGCCTCGAAGGGAGCTGTTTTACGCGCTGCCGACGGTGTGTGTGTATGTATTTTGTGTGCCTTGTTGCTGAGAGGGCTAATGTGTTATTCTCGGCTCCCCACAAGTTTGTAGTATTTCGTATAGCTTTTAGTGTTCAGTCCTTTTAATAAATGTTTTCTCTCGTTCAACCTTGAACTGGCAGTTTCGTTGATATTCGGAGCAGACGGCTTGAACGCATTCAGCGTTCTGCCATTGAATGGAGGAGGAATCGAATAGAAGAATGAGAGGGAGACGCACCGGATTAGTCAAAGTTAGCTTGATGGTGAAGATGTGAGAACCGCCACAGAACGGGTGGTTCTATTGATGTAATGGAAACTGAATGGTCTCCAGACAAAGTGGATTGAATTGAAAGGTAAGCCCTTGCGCCCAGAGAGTCGAATTGGTCTTTTTTGTGCCTGGCTTACCTCAATCCCACAATGATAATTTGGGAAAATCACCACCAAACAACTCGTCAAATTGCATCACCAGTTATTAATAATTAACACATATAACTTGTTAAAGTCATCCCGCTCTTCTATCTCAAGCTTTGAAAAAAAAAATGCCTGCCACTGTGGAGGTTCAGCTTTTTTTGTGTTGAAAGCATTTCTAAATTCACTCAGCTCACCTGTTGTGTCCCTCCTTTGTTCAGTGACATAATGCTTAGCTCTCCGGACTTGTTGGTATGTGCCTGCTCTGCCCAACATATGTGATTTGCATGAAAAGAACTGTCTGAGAACCTGAAGGCATTGCCCTCAGGTAGTAAGGGCTTGAAACACTTGGAAAGTTCAGAAATGCTACTAGGTCATTATTTACCAAAACAAGGCAGTCATCAGCATACCAGACCTGACCCTTGATCTATAAAGATGTGGGTTAACTGATCTTTCAATTACACTGAATGTTTTGTGCACTAAGAAAGTATCTTTTTTTTTAGGGAGCAGCACAGACCTGCTAAGAAACCCCGAAAGCCTGAACTACTTGTGCAGCAACAGACGTTGGGAAATCCCAATATTCCTGAGGTTGTAGCGTTTCATGCAGTTCATGCTGTCACCCAAGTTAAACGTGTGTGCGCGAACATCCGTAAACTTGACCAAACATGGAACAAGTTTTGCAGTGATCATGATTCTGCATTGTACAACGGTGTGTGATAGCTTGAGGGCGAGCAAGGTTACCACGTCTTGCCATCTGGAGGGTCGATTCTCAGGAACATTCAGATATCATCTGCAAAATATCAACAGTGAATATAACTGGGAAAGTATTTTAAGGAATTTTAAGTTTGCGTGAGCCCTCGACTCCATTGTGTCATTGACACCCTCGAAGGAGACCCCTTAGGGACCCCCTACTTTCCTCACGTCACCACGCTGTAGTCAACAAAACAAGTTATGATGACGTGATATCCGCCATTTTTCTTTTGCCACGTTTGTTACTACAGTTTATATTTCCCGGCTGCTGCTTGCGAGTGCGTGGCTGTAGTGCAGGCTTAGAAATTTTTGTGTTTGGCAACATTGCAGTCCCGTTTCCTATTCGAATGTAATTCTTGATGCGGATCGTGGGGAAGTGTGTCACAGTTCTGTGCGCTGACGTGGTCGAAAACTGCACACGCTAGGTGGCGACAGTTGCACTTAGTTTTTGTAGCTCTCTCAAGCTAAAACTGAAACTGATCGATACTAAGGGGCCTGTAAATAATTATCTGTGGCATGCTGAGACAAACAATGTGTCGTGTAATGACTAACAGGCCCCCAGCAACACATTGCAGCAGAGAAACGGGAGGCCAATGTTTTTGTGTCAGTACCCTTTTACTACGGTGTGGGGCAGGCGAGCGAGTGGGCAGGCAGGGCAGGCAACGCAGTTAGTTAGTTAGTGAGTGATTTAGTTAGTTATGGCTAGGTAGGTAGGTAGGTAGATAGTTAGTTAGTTGGGCGGGCAGGCAGGCCAGGGCAGGCAGGCCAGGGCAGGGCAGGGCAGGGCAGGGCAGGGCGTAAAGTGATTTTATTCGAAATATGTTGTTGTGATTATATCCCCAATGGGAAATGATAGCAAAAAAAAAAAAAAAGAAAAAAAGGGGCAGAACTTAGAACCTGGGTTCAATGCCAAGCACTGCCCATGAAAATTTTGTTGTGTACGTTATTTTTGTGACAACATTCATGCTATATGACATTCTTACTGAGTGCGTTAGGTTACTTACATATTAAAAAGATATATATGTATAAATATGTATGTAGTCTACGTTAGTCAGACAATGTCTTTTTGTGTCTGCCAAGAAAGTGTTTTGTGCTGGCTTAGTAAATGAATAAAATTGATGCACAGTAAATTTCCCTGTTGCTAGGTAGCAGAGGAGGCACCCTTGGACTCTGGGCTACGTGACCAGCTGACTTCTATCTTTGAGACGTTCCTGCGGTCACGTGGGGGGTCGGCCAGCCTGGACGCTCTGTACGGGCACCTAACCTCGCGCTTCACCCGTGACACCTACTCACGCATGATGCAAAGTCCCCAGGACCTGTCTGCATTCCTGCGCATGAACACCCATCGATTTCAGGCAAGCGGTGGTTTGACATGTTCATTCTTGTTGACACGATGCTGCAAAGTTTTTGGCAAGATGAAGCGGTTTGCAGGAGAGCACTTATCACAGACGCACAGGAAAAACCAACATCTGGACAAGCCATCGAGGCCGTTTGGTTTCCTTGTTACGAGAAAGTGATTTTGAATTTCCATTGTCGAGAGCATCACTTGAGCGAGTGATCAGAGCCTGCTGTATTTCCAGCTTCTAATCTGTCTGCTCATCCTACACAGGTGATTCGAGCACTTTATTGTTACGTTTCATTTTTTTCTGGCTGCAGTGCTCTGATCGCTCGTTTTAATATGGCTCCTATCATTGCATCGCTTTCCATTGAGTTTGAAGACTTTAAGGTGCCAGTTGAAAAACAATTAGCTGCTGTTCATAACACATTGCAATCAGTAAAATCTGCACCGACAGAGTGCCATCCTGAAAGTGTGAACGAACTTATATCTGAGGTTGATGACATAAAGAAAGCCATGCGTTTCATGGCCAGTAAGTTTGAAGCTGCAAAATAAAAAAACAGCAGCCTTATATCTGACAACAAGCACCTGAAAAAAAGCAATCAAATGCTGCTGCAAAAAATTAGCCATTTGGAAGAGTACTCCCGCTTCAACAATTTGCAAATAAGAGGTGTTCCAACAATGCAATGCCATAACTTCAGAAACATTGTCGAGCTGAAAACAAATGATCAAAGATTTGTCCAGCAGTAGAAAAGATATTCAACAAGAAAGGAACTAGAGAATCGAACAGATGTAGCATAAAGCATGGCAGGAGGTACGTTGAGTGCAAAAAAGATGTTGTATACGGAACTCCTTTTACATGTGGAAAGGAATACGTTGGTCAGACGGGTCGGTGCATAAATGTGCGCCTTCGTGAACATCAGAGTTCACTAAAGGGGTCTCCTTACTCACACTTAGCGATGCACTGCAAGGAGTGCACCTGCCAACCGAAATTTTCCGACACACAAATAATTGACAGGCACAACAAGCGGACGACGAGAGAAATAATGGAAGCGTATAGAATAAGGAAAGGAGGGGACAGTTGCGTCAGCCAAGCGTCAGTTCGACTAACAGATGCGGAATTTGCTTTTTTGGACGTCACATAACCCAGTGTTTTTCTCTGTGTTACGGTTTTTTGTGTTTTTTTTTGTTTCTTTGGTTTTTCTGTTTTTTATTTTTGTTTTTTCACATTTCTTTTTTCTTAGTTCTTGACACGTGTTTGTTTCCGGTTGTGGGCGCGTGCATATTTTGTTATATCACGTTGCTGATGATGACAGGGGAAGTCGGGAATGACGTACATGCGTGTGAATGTATTTATTAGTGTTCGCTTCGAAATAAAATTTTCAGTTGCTAGTAAGCGCTTGTCTGTGTCCTCTCTGAGTGTGTGTACTTTTGTGCTTGTTTCATCATCACGAACCTTTACCAACACGCCCAACTGACAGTCATTCTTGTTAGTGTGGTGCCCAGAATCGTCAGTGACGTTGACCTGCATGAGTTCAACACATAGGTGTGAAATATTGTTAAGCTTGAAAAAAAAACAAAAACATAATGGCTTATTTTTTTCCTGGTAACTTTAATAACATTTCTTCGTAGAACTGGGGTTTTTCTTCGATTTATTTTAATGCTCATAGCCTTCCTGAGAGTCATGACAGTATTACCGCTCTAATAGCTTCTCTTAATCATCAGTTCTCAGTTATCTGTTGCTCTGAAACTTGGCTGTTACCTGGTCATGCTGACTTGTATGGGTTTCTCGGATATTGTCATTGAAGTGATGATCGTCATGATGGTTCCACCATTTTTGTTTCAAATAACATAAGAGGCACTATGATTTAAATATAAATGTGGTGAAATGTGAATCTCTTTGGCTAAAAATTGATCTGCCAGGTCTTTGTCAGAATCAACGAATAACTATTCTTGCTCCTGTATATCAATCCCCTTCCAGTGACCCCTCTTGTTTTTGTAATGCTCTTCACCACTTGCTTGATAAACTTACTGCTGAGCGCAATAATATAATAATTATGGGCGATGTGAACTTTTACTAGATTCCTACAACCATTCTGCCCTCGAGTATATGACTTGTTTTTATAGCTTTGGGTTTAAATCGCAAATATTTGTACCAACACGCTGTTCGAATGACAGCTGACAGTCATTAATCGATTACATTCTCACAAAAATTGATGACATCAGTCATGCTGGTGTAATTGAAAGTGACATTAATGATAACTTTCCTGTATTCCTATGTTCGTGTTGACGTCACCTTCATTGTGGCCAGTGATCAAGCTAATGCCTTTAATGTACACTTTTCTACTAGCCTTGCAGTCGCCTCCTCCTCATCAGACTACATACCTCCGTTTTCTTTCAGTCCTCAGTCAATGCTTCTTTTTTCTACTTTTGCTTCCGAAATTTGCTCAATTATTTAAGGATTAAAAGCTCCCGAATCTGGGTTAAACAACATCTGCTCAAAACACATTAAACTTGTAGGATCTGTTGTTGCTCCTCTATTAAGCCACATTTTTTACCGCTGTTTCAAAAACAATGGTTAAAACAGTGGTTATCCAGGTGTTTTCCTGGATAAATTCAAAGTTGTGAAGGTAGTGCCAGTATTCAAAAAAGTGATTCTTTTAGCATGTGCAATTGCAGGCCACTATCTCTCCTTCCCTTCCTGGATAAAATTTTGAAAAAAACGAAGTGAAATAAGAATATCTAAACATTTAAGCAAATTTAACATACTTTCTTCTTGTCAGTTTGTTTTTAGGGTTGGTCTTTTCATTGATACTGCAATAGCATGTTTCACTGACAAAATCAGGTGATTCATGGATAATGGTAACATCGCAGGATCTGTATTTGTCGAATTTACTAAAGCATTCAATAGTATTGACCATTTAATCCTATTTGTTAAACTTATATACTATGGCATAACTGGCCCCCATTAACGCTATTACAGAGCTGGGAGATGATGTAGACTCCAACCAAAGGTTTTGAAGAAACCCGATGTTTCGGAACCGACTTGGTTCCTTCCTCAGGGGTGACTGCGGAGGCTACGTAGCAGCGACGTTTTCAAAGCACTCGCAGGGTGGCTAATGCGCCCCCCCCCCTCTCTCTCTCTCTCGTTTTGCCGTGGAGCGCAGTCCATGTGAATACACTGAGGAAAGGGTTCCGAGAGAGCGGTTGATGTTATGGGCTGACCTCTGTATGTGCCACTACTCGAGTAACAACCTTCTCCTCCAGTTCGGCTCGCTTTCAAGGATGGCCGTCGCTTCGAAATTTATCTGGTGATCTAACGTCTCAGCATGTTCGGCGACTGTGCTGCGCTCTTTGTAGAACTTCCGCACATCGTTGGCGTGTTGCTTCAGTCATTCTTGTAGGTTTTTGGTCTCGCTGATATACGACGAGGGGCACTCGGCATACGGAATTTTGTAAACGACACCGGGGCGCCTGTCTATTGTTGGCCGGTCTTTCGGGCTGGGGAGGAGGCGGCCCAGCGTACACGAAGGCATGTGCGCGATGCGAACTCCTTCCTTTCTGAAGATCCGCGCTAACGTCTCGCTGGTTCCCTGAACGCATGGAACCGGTACGCATTTCGGAGGGCTGCCAATTAATGTTGATTGGTGTTTTCGTATCCTTTGTTGCTCTGCGCGGCGGGTGGTGGCTCGAATGAAGTTTTTTTGGTATCCGTTTTTTCTGAGGTCAGCAATTACGCGGGCCTCCTCTGTCTTTCGCTCGGTGTCATTAGAGCATAAGTTCCTAGCTCTCTCGAGTAGCGTGGTGACAACCGAGGCCTTGTGGCAGGCGGGGTGGGAAGAATCGAAGCTTTCTTCTTAATAGGTTTCAGGTGGTCTCGGTCAATAACTTTACATCCAGTCCCAACTCAATTACCAGAAGTGTTCCACAAGGTTTGATTTTGGGTCCTTTATTATTTTTAATATTCATAAATGATTTACTATGTTGCCTTAATTATTCTTTCTATTTACTTTATGCAAATGACATGACTGTCTTTTCCAATCGTTTGGATTCTGCGACTCTCATTTCCAAACTTCAAGCTGACCTTAACTCACTTGTTGACTGGTGCAACTATAATAAATAATTGATTAATCCTTCCCAACACTGTTTTATGCTTTTTCATTCACCAAACAAAAAACTAGCCTTCATTCCTTACTTTTTTGTGAACTCAGTATTTACTCCTTTAAATGATCATACGTCATTTTTAGGGGTTATAATGGACAGGCATCTGAAATTTAAGCGACATATCAATCCTGTTTCTAAAAAGATTTCATTCCGTATCAGAGCATTGGTCAAGTCACGAATGTATTTTAACATCGACACTCTGAAGACATTGTATTTTGCATTCATACACAGTCATCTCATTTATTGCATTTCATCATGAATAGTCAGTGCACATTTGGCCATTTAAAGTATTACAAAAATAAGCAATGAGACTCATGACTTTCGTGTGACGTCAGACGTCATCACATCCTATTTTTTGCCCCAGTTTGATGTATTATTCGTCTTTCAAATTTACGTTTATAATGTGCGTGCTTTGTTTTTCAAGGTTTTTCACTGCACCCTCACTATCAACATATTTCCTGCTGTCTTGTTGTCACAGAACGAGCGCTAAAAATGGGCGCGCCGCCAAATTCTTGCGATAACGCGTGAAAGAGACGCCGCGAGGTCAAAAAAAAAAAAGAAAACAAACATCCAAGGCTCCCCGGGCGCGCGCTCTCCCCCGCGGAAGCGCGGCTTCGCCGACGAACCTCCTCACCCCACAACGGCGGCCCAGCAAGCACTCGATTTTTCTAGAAGGAACGGGGCGTGGTCATACCGAGTTGAGTCATCCTCCAGGAAGGGCATTCCAACCGTCTCGCTCTCCCCCCAGCCCTCGCTGCGTATCGCGCCGACGAAAGGACGAGAACTTTCTGGAATGTCGCGCGCAAGGTATTTAACCGAGCAGCCGAGATGAGAGATCAGGAGAAGACGGAAGTA